GGGCCAGGGCCGGGACGACACGGGCGCCATGTTATGGAGGCGGGGAGGGGACCGGTGCCGCTCGGCGGGCCGCAGGCGGCCTGTCTCCCTCTGCGCTGGCAGAGCTCATCCGAAGGAGGCCTACGACGGGAGGGCGGGAAAGGAGTCCGGGCATTTGGTGGCTGAGGGCCACAGCAAGGCCAGACACACGCACGGTAGCGTTAACGTGTGGTGGATACGCACGCACAGTGCAGTTAGTGCGTGCACATCCGGTACTGTGCTCTGCCGGGTCGTGCTTCCTTCCGTAAGGCCGTGTACTTGTATGACAATTTAGTGTATGCATTATGAAAAATAATTTAATATTAAGGTGCCAAGATGAGAGGGGGGGGGTATCCTCAGAATTTGGAAATAAGAATGGTGATACAGACTTCAATTACATATTTGTGGGCTATTTTTTCTATAGGAACTTCACTCAGTATGAAGGATGGAGAGTACCAACTGAGGAGGTAACCAGTCAATATTGCTTTTAATCATCCTTCACTGTGTTGCCCTGGGCATTATTCACCACATACCACTTAAACACCACAGTGAATGGAGTTATTAATTTCCACGTAGGTGTCGTCATGCTGTTCATCAGTATCCTACTGGAATGCCTCACAAACATCAATTAACTTCTCTGTACTCAATTGGGCTGTGATGGTGTGATTATCCCCATTTTGGAGGAAAGGAACTAGAGCAGGAACATTACATTTAAAATGCTCCACTCTCTGTGAGTAATTAGTTGAAGGTTTCAAGAATCACACCTTTCAGGGTCTCTAGCAGTCAGGGATATAAGGAGTGCAGGTTGGATGGCCATCTATACACATAAGATAATCTTAATTCTGTAATTTCTTAATTTTTCAATGATTTCAGCCTCAAGTACCTGCTTTCCAGTAGCACATTATTGTGTGACTAATGTGTCTGCCTTGTTCTTTTCTCTTCCTCTCCTCTTGGGTATAATTGTGTATGTCCTGGAATATTTTTCTTTGATAGGGCTTTTATGTTCTGTTCTTGTTTTTTAATGTGCAGGTTGCCATCTGTGTTAGAAAAGGCAAGATCAAAGAAGTGTGTTTTGAAATACAAGTAAGCGTAAGCAAATTTGCACTCTGATAGACAAAGTTCTGTTGTGCCATTGGGATGATTATGACAGTCTCTATCACAATTTAGAACATCAGGTAATCTTTGTATTAGAATAAGAACTAACTTAAAATTTGGGTGTTCATCCAAAAAGATGCCAGTGCAAAGAGTACTTGGTCAGTTTGATGTTCTTGTGGTTAACACACTGCTGAGGAAGTATTGTGCAGTATTCTGTAAAGTTAAGGTCTGATTGGTTAATTCAAGTCATCATCCAGTGGGATAGGATTGAATCCTCTAGGAGAAAGTGTTATTCATTGTTGCTGTTATCTGAGAGTACAGCTTAAGAAAGAAATAATAGAATAAAGTCAGAATAATTTTGACTGGAAGGATCTCTTGGGAGTCATCGGATCCAACACCCCTACTCCATGCAGAACTCATTAGATCAAGTGATTCAGTGCCTTGCTTGTTTGTTTTTTGAGTATATCCAAGGACAGAGATCCCACAACCCCTGTGGGCTCCTGTTCCTGTGCTTGACACCCTCACAGTGATTTTTTTTTTTTTCTAATATGACAGAGATCCCACAACCCCTGTGGGCTCCTGTTCCTGTGCTTGACACCCTCACAGTGATTTTTTTTTTTTTTCCTAATATTTATGGGAGTTTTCTTCAAAGCTGCTTATGTCCAAGAGTCTGATAATACATCTAAACTACATGCTGACTGCTCCAATTGTGTGTACCTTCAGCCAAAGAAGTGTACATGTTATAGAAAGCTTTCCAAAATACTTTAATTTACCTAACATTATAACCACTTTCTTGCTCAGGTTCTGCTGACTAACTGGTTTTCACCCATGAGTTGATCTGAACCTTCTGTGCTATCTTGATAATGTATACAGGTTGTGGCAAAAGACAAGTAGGGCTGTGTGTGTCACTTGCATGCTGCTTGTCTTTGAGTCTGTGTCATCTGACCATTTTACCTCAGTACGTTTTCTTCAAAGCTGCTTATGTCCAAGAGTCTGATAATACATCTAAACTACATGCTGACTGCTCCAATTGTGTGTACCTTCAGCCAAAGAAGTGTACATGTTATAGAAAGCTTTCCAAAATACTTTAATTTACCTAACATTATAACCACTTTCTTGCTCAGGTTCTGCTTTGACTAACTGGTTTTCACCCATGAGTTGATCTGAACCTTCTGTGCTATCTTGATAATGTAGGCAGGTTGTGGCAAAAGACAAGTAGGGCTGTGTGTGTCACTTGCATGCTGCTTGTCTTTGAGTCTGTGTCATCTGACCATTTTACCTCAGTACAAAGAAAACTGACATTGTAAGTGAAAGGTCTGTTACAGAGATGCAGGTGATTCCTTCCCTGACTGAAGTTATCAGCAGTTCAGTCATAACTGGCACTACAGTTCTGATGCAGCATCTTTAACAAGTGAAGAAGGATGTATGTCAGACTCACAGACGGGAGCACAGCCTAGGATACACTTCCTGAGTTACCCAGTTCTCTGCTGCCAATGCTAAAAAAGCAGTTTTAGCACCTATGTCTTAAAGAAATTTCAAGGTCCTTTCACATTCAACTCGTAAGTCTGACTAGTTACACTAATCTCTTAATTTGTCAGAATTTCTCCCTTTTATAAGTGAGCAGCTTAGATACAGGCCTGTTTTTATTTGTCCTTCCATTTAATTTAAACTGAATCAACATTCAAATGGAGTGGGTTTTTTTATGGTCAGAGTTACGATAAAATCTCCCTTACTTAGCAAAACAAAATTTTAAAGTATATCTCTTTCTACTGGTTCTGGGATTATTCTGTGAGGAAGTTGTTAGTTATCACCTGTGTGACTGCTTAGACCCGGCCATTGTTACTACTATCTGTTTTCCAATCTGTGTCTGGGAAGGTAAGGATTTTCATAATTCTCAGTAGCATTATTCCTCTTTTAATACCTCCTGGTAATGTACATATGGATATAAACCTCTTGATGCTATTTACAAACTCCTGGTAGACTTCTTTCTCAAATTTACATGCACCTAAAGAGATCGCTTTATCCATTATTTGGTTTCTTTACATTATGTGCTTGCACATATAATTGCTGCCCTATGATATTTACCTTCATTTCTGTCTTTACTACGCAGAAAATATCTTTCAAAGTCATGCTCCAGTTATGATTATTATATTTTTTTGTCATTCTTACAATGCAGAGGTTTGTGCTTAAAGCTTGACTGTTGACTATTTTTTGTGGTTCTTAGGTCTCCTGGATGACTAAACAGGTAACTCCACACTTGAGTTTGGGATACTCGAGTCCAAATCTGGCTTTAGAGTACTTGAAAGCAGACTGGAAGGCTTCAGGCCTGCAATACAGCTTCTGCATAGATTTATTTTGTTTTATTCAGCTAGTGTCTTCAAATTCTCCTTTGTGTTGATCTGCTGCAGGATGCTAGAAAATGGAGATACATAGACAGTAGGGAAGGAAGAAGTTACCTGAAGGCTAACACATTCATGGCTGAGGCAGATCTATCGAGGTAATGATTCATCAGTTCCTTGGCTTCTTTTCCTGTGGACAGAGCATTTTTGCTCTCTAATAGAATGTAGAATTTTATTTGATTATTTAAATCTTTGAGATAATGTATCTTTTCTGTTGTCAGGAAACTGCAAAGGATCTTTTTTGAGGCCCAAAAAAGTGATGAGATTGCTGGCAATGTCTTGGTGATGATATGGATGTTTAAGGCACAATTTATCATTGGTGACTGCTACATAGGCGTCTACATCAGGGCAAGTCATCCCATGCTCATTTCATAGTCTTTGGAGGGCTTGTCAATATGTCCCCGGATGCAATTCAGACCTTCAAAACCAGAAAGATGAACTGTGGCTAAACCCCACTGGGTGCAGAGGGAGCCAAACCATCTTTATTAGATATAGACACCTAAATTTAGATTGGATAAATAGCACTCCTAGTCTGAAGATGAGATTCAGAATGAGTTGAACCAAACATGACCGTAAGGAAAGCAAGTTTCAATATGAGTTTGGGGCTTTTCCCTGTATGATACTGAAATATGAATTGTTGAAATTCCCCAGAAAGTCAAATCTAGACTGACAAAAATTTTCTACAAGGTTTCAGTGTGTGGCTTTACAAACCTTTTATTCCTTAAATAATCATGATTTGTAATGGAGTCTAAAATGATCTGTAAAGGAACTTAAAATCCATGTGAACTTTGGCTCTAGATTCTATCAGCAAGCAAGGTCCTATTTGAATTATTCTTCTTGGATATTTGCTACTTAAGGAAAATCCTAGTGTAATGGCATTTGCCGTCACAGAGTTTATGGCCAAAACAAATTCCATCACTCTTCTGTTTCAGCCTTCTATGTCATACCATACATAGAATTTAATCTAGTTAATTTTGCATTGAGTCTTACAACCTATATTTGACTAAAGTATTTCTCAGTAATGTAACTAAAATAAACACATCACCTTTCAATCTTCTCTTTATTAAATAAAGTGAACATTTTAAAATCTCTTGTTTTCTGTTTCCTCCTATCCTTTAAACTGTATTTGTGGACTTTTTTTGTTCCAGCTTTTCAAAACTAACTTAAAAATCTGATTATCAAACTGGACACTTACTTTTACTTTCAGGTTCACTATTGCTGTATACACAAATACATCACCAAAATTATAGTGCTATTCCAAGGTCTATAAACTATATTTGAGCAGGTTTGACATCTCCTCAGCCAGTTTCCGTTGCACTCTTGAGTGAAAATTACCTAGAATGGCTGATTTCAAGAAGGGTATTCCTAATGGTCTAAAAAGGCCTTCATCATCACACTGTAACATGACAGTATTACCTGCATCTTTCCAATCGGTAATTAGTAATAAAGTTTTGCTGCTTTTTTATTCTGAAGGTTGGTTGTGTTTATTTTTCTGTATTATTTCCAAGATAATATTGGTTATTTTTAAAGAATCCTCAGCCATTGCATTCATTTGTAAATTTTGTTTACTATTTTTACTAATTATAATGTATGTATACATTGTTACACTGGATTAGTTTAGTAACACATCTAGATAATTACTATTTGTAACTAATGTCTTCACTAGGGCTCTTTTATGCTAACTGCCTTCAAACAAAGAGCCAGTAGTAGAGAGACACTTGCTGCCCCAGATTGCTTATAATCTGGGTTAATGACATGATGCGATGGGGATAAAACAAAGAGTGTGAAATGAGCGAACCTAATTTCAGATTGTAGGAGTTGCTACAGCTGTTAGACTTCAGCACTGCAGGAGTAAGCAGCAAATGACACTAACAGTGAACACCTTGAAAAGGTGGGCAGGCCACTGCATTCTGCTCACACCAGTCCAAGAGAGCTTGCTACTCTATCGTATCTAGAGAATTTTGTCTCAATCTGTATTGCAACTTGGTGATACACTGGGCTGAACCCAACATATAGCACAGACGTGTGTGTGATCAGTAATGGTATGTTGTGTTTACGTGGCAAGATTTTGGCAGCTGGGGGGCTGCAGGGTTGGCTTCTGTGGGAAGACACCAGACGCTGGCCCCGTGTCAGATAGAGCCAGTTCCAGACAGCTCCAAGACAGACCCACCGCTGGCCAAAGCTGAGCCCATCAGCAACGTAGGTAGCACCTCTGTGGTAACAAATTTAAGAAGGGGTAAAAAACGCTGTGCAACAGCTGGGAGAGCTTTGCTGCATTGCTCTTTTAAGGAAGCAACACAGCACACAAAGTTGTTGATCAGGTGAATGCTAGAGTATTTCTGTGAACTCCATTTTTGGCAATAGCCTGAACAGAACTACTATTAGGGATCCCAGCAGCGTTTAGGAGGGTATTGCACAAATTTGTGAAGTCCCACAAAATTGACACTTGGATCTTAAAAGTTTGTGCTCATTTGGCAAAGTGACTCTTTTTTTCTCTTTGCTTAGAGACATTCAGGCTTCTGATCTGCAAAGAAATAAGTATGCATAGTAAATTGCACATACATACACTTCCATGAGTTAAATAACAGCAGCAGTGGCAGATGCATGAACAAAACTGATGCTGTGGCATCAAGTCATTTTGGTGAAGTTACATTAAGTTACTTCTGTTGTAAAATTAATGTATATAAAAACACTCCACTATCTTACGCAAATGAGCCATACAATTAAAGAGTCCATGAAGCCACAAGACTTCCATTTCTGGTTATCGCTGCAGCACATACATAGGCTTACCAGAGATGGGGAGAATACTGAAAACAAATAAGAATTTGAATAGCTGAGATGCCAACATTATGTATAAGCTGTAAATCAATGCAGGAAACCCAGACGAGAATAATTGGTTGAGAGACAGAAAGAATTCATCCAGAATTTGAGGAAGCTGCTTAAAGTATGATTATTCCATGAAAAATGTTACTGGTTTTGCTTGTGTGGTCCACAATAATAAGGATGCGCTGTATTGTTGTGTACCGGATTGCATCTTGTATTTCATTGGAATTTTTTTGTTTCTAACACCTGTGCTTATACATCTGCCACTTCACCTTAAAACTTGTTAAATAAAATTTTGGTTTTAAACTTTTTAAAATTTGAATTGTTTCCTGATCCAGTTCACGTAATGGCTCTGCAAACTAGTGCATTGACACAACTGGCAGGAAAGGAGAGAAACACAGTATAACATGGGAATGCGTGTCCAAGGCTGTCTTGTCCTCGGCCCAATTCTAGATTTTTGTTGGCATAACACATAGATGAACCTGGCCAAAATACATGAGAAAGACATCGACACCTGCCTCCAGGGTATTAGTATTCATCCTTCTCCTTTGGAAATCACAATGGACTGGAAGAAAAATGACAGCCTGTGCTTGGAAGGACTACTGCCTCTAACTGATCAAGGTGAAATCTGTGGCCAGGAAGCCAGTTGTTCAGAACCATGCTCGTCAGTGATTTATTGAGGCTGGATTGCATTATGAAAATCTGGCCTGATAGGAGCTTGTCTTTTATCGTGTCCTCACTCCCTTAGTATGCCTCTCAGGCTTCAGGGACCTAGCAGTTCTCTTTTTATTTTGTCCACTGCCTGTCCTGACCGAAAACTGTTGTTAGCAAGTTAGAAGGGAAGTAGAAACCAGAAAGGCATTAGTTTTATTCACAGCACTGTTGTCATTAACTTATCCAGTCATTTCACTTCTTTTTTTCTTTGTAATTGAATTGTCTTTGTTCTTGTTTGAAGGTATTATCTGTGCCATTGCTCAGATCAGCCAAGAGGTTAGTGTTCGTTCTTTAGAAAAGACAGTTGCCACTGGCCTTCTACAGCAATATGCTGGCTAGTAGGATGTTTCTAGCTGTGGGGAATTAACAGTTTTCCTAGAAGAGAAACTGGAAAGAAGGAAAGTTTGGAGATTGTCAGTGTTTTAGAGGGTAGGATGGAATAGGCCCTACTGTTTTCTTATTTTGGACTAGCTGAGAAGACTGGTCTTTGTTTTCTGAAACACTGACTGAAGGTGACCTGCAGAAGGGACTTGTGTTTTGCCCCGAACAAAGTGCATTCACTAGTTTGTATTTCTAGATGGTGTGCGATCCTGCTGTACATGTTGCATCATGCTTGGTTGCCTTCCTTCATATCTTCTTCCGTTCCCTAAAACTATTTAAGCATATCCATATCCAAGTTAGAATCTGAACCTTACAAATCTCATCATTTTATAAATGGAGAGCAGTGACAATGGAATAATTCTCAGATGGGAAGGACATTTTCATAAAATATCCAGAGGAGAAACATGGGAAGAGAGGGGACTAAGCATGAACATCCAGTGTAAATATCAGGCTCCTGAGTGTACGGGTAGGCCTTAATGGCCCTCATCAGCCTCTCCTATGGCCTTTACCCATACCTTCCGCCCACGGGCCCAGGATCTCCATTTCGGCTCAAACCTGGGCCTTCTGTCCTGCTTGAGCTACATCATAGGAATACTGGTGTCCAGCCCAGCAACAGTCATGCCCATGCCTGGGTATGGCCCCCACAGATCTGGGCCCCAACCCATGGCTGACTACCCAGTTTGATCTCACACCTGCCTTGTCATTATCGACCTGCCCAGGTATCAGCTGTGTCTGACCCTGGTCACTGTCACTGGACCTGACCCTGACCAGTGGATTGAATTCCCGGTTTGACCTCAGACCTGCCTTGTCACCACAAGCTTGTCTGGTGGTCTGGACTCTCAGCTGACCCTGTCTGCCATTGTCACTGGGCCTGCCCTGCTCCCATTGCCTGGGCGTTGTGGGACTGAGCCCTGGCTGGTGACACCCCTACCCTGGCTGATGAGACCATATTATCATGCTTGGCCCCTGGCTCTCCAACCATTAAAGAGCAGTTGGCCCTCTATGATCACTGGCAGTATACAAAGAACAGATACATTATCTGCCTCAAAACCACCATAAACAGAGACAAGCCAAGGCGACCTGGGACCTGGAGAATAGTAACTCATCTTGTTCTTTGAGTCGCTTACTTTAGCATTGCAGATTCCCTGGACTCTGTTACAATGGAAGAGAAGATGGTGAATGCTCCTTTTGACTTAACATCTGTGACTAATCATGTCTGCCACTTCTGGTTTTGATCTGTTCCAGGGACTTTATTTGTATATATTAGGTTATCTGGGTTAAGTGCAGCTTCACTTTCTCCCTTCTATCTATCTAGTCTGAAGTTGTTTAGCAAGATCTTCCTGTTTTTATTCCAACTCAGTATCAAGAAGTCACAGGTACTAACTGGCACTCAGCATTGAACTTATTTTTTATGCAGTGAACGCATGCTTTGTGTATCACTGAAGAATTCATAGGTCTCCAGTCTTTGATTTCTCAACTTTGCTTTGCTGACAGATATTGAAGAAGTCTCTTCAGATGCTTGCCTGTTTCATTCCCCTCCCAGTTCTTTACAGTAATTTTTTATTGTAAAGAACTTTTTTCCCCCAACTGTGACTGTGGAGAAATCAAACATTATTATCATGAGCAGGACCAACATCTGAACGAAATTATGGGAGTGGGAACATGAATGTAGTCTTGTATAGTTTCACTATTATGCTTATAAGTGGTTTGGTTTTTTTAATGAAAACTGCCTTAAATTAATGGGCTAGATGGGGAATAAAAGAGGAAGAATCACTATTGTCAGTATCTTTTGTATAGCAGCACTTTTCATGTACCAGCATGGGGTTTTTTTTTGTTGTGCTTTTTTTTTCTTACCAGAGTGTTCAGCTACTACTGCCATCCTTTCCTTCTGGGGAAAAATGCAGGAGGTGACCTAAGGAATGAAGGTGCCTGTGATCAGGTAACTTGGCCTTAACCTGCGACTAGACTGGTAAATCCTCAGTGCAGACAGGGTGGCGTTCAAGTTCAGTGTGGCTGAACATCCAGTATGATCTGATTAAGAGAAAACACCCATCTGCTTGGCCTGGCCAGTTAAAGTCTCCCCACACGAAAAAGGCAGGAGGAACAGATCTCGGGTGCCCAGAGCTCATCACTCCATTTGGCAGAGTCTCTATCTTCAGTTACAAAAGTCGCATTTTAATTTCTAATCTAGACTTTATTTATACAAACCAATATTGTAGCATGTAGAGAAGACGAACAGATTTTAAAGTCAGAAGATGTACTAAGAGTCTTTTCTGTCCTCCCTGAAGAGATGAGAGAAACAGCATCACTTAGCAGTGGACATGTTTTAGAAGAATGTTGGTTTAAAGTAATTAAAAAATTGAGAATTCAGCAGAACTGGAGGTAAATAGTTTCTGTAGTTGAAGAACTGCACCTTTTTATTGTCTGAAATTATCTCACTTCAGCTTCCAACTGTGTAGCTCATCAGGTCTGTTGCAGACCTGTTACTAGGAGTCTTAGTGCATATAAACACTCAGTTCTACATCCCGTGATCTTACTAACTCAAGCTCCCTTTTCTTCTATGAACACTCCCCCCAGATTTTTCAGTAAGCTTTAAGGAATACTGTACCTTTATTGCAGATGTGCCTTTGTCCTTCATAGAGACGTAACTTGCATTTAGGTTTATTGAAACACTTTTGTTCTGACACGCTGACGCTATCGGGACTCGGACGGCTGAGCACGAACGTGCCACGCTCGCAGCCCTTCCTCCTCCCTCAGTTTTGCTCCGTTCAGATCTGCTACGAGCAAGTTTAAATTCGCTGAAAGCAAACACTGCCTTACACAGCAAGGACTCCCGGCCCCGCAGGCGGGGAGGAGTAGCGCAGTCGAGACCCGCCCGCTCCCGGGGCCCCCGGCCGAGGCGCGGGGCCCAGCTCAGCGCCGGGGG